TGATAATTGTTCAAGGTACAAGGCTCATTCACTGTTTTGCTTTTATGGGAATTAATATAAAGACTCAAAGCGTAGATGGTCTGCTGAAACATTCAGTGCTGTAGCAGACCCTATTAGTCTTCTTTGAGGCCATTTTAATTATTTGGGTAAATAGACGTGGCTACCACTTTTTCTCAGGGATGAAAATTGTGTTGTTAGTGCAGATTGATCGCAAGGCTGAGCCTCACCTATGCTATTGTTACAACTCTTAAAGAGGGTTGGCAGTGGCGCTATGTTCCGCGATCAAACAGTGTCGTCGTTCACAAGCATATCAATTGTACTTTTGCCTTTGGCGTTTATGAAACAACAGTTTTTTTTTTGCATAACAAAAGAAGCTATATCGCTCATATTACTTTCTTTTCATGTTTTTTATTGTTAGAATGAAGCATCTATTGGTACACTTGTCATACCCCTATTCGTCCTAGGTTATATGTTACGTTCAGAAGCGGATCTGAAAGCATGAACGGGCTTTTGTTTATTGATAGCGACATCTATTTCAGCCTTGTCAATCTCATAAAAAATAAACGGGAATCTTTAAAAAAAAGCAGCTGTTTCTATCTATGAGTGAACGCAGAGCAATGGGCACATGTGTGCACCCAAGAAGTCCTGTTGTTCTACGTTAAGCACACCCCCATTTGAATACACCTTAGAGCAAGCTATTCACTCTGTAAACTTCGCATTCTTATCAGCGATTACTTTGTGCTTGATGAAACACAAGCAATCTGTTTTTACAGTGAAACCTTTTATGAAATCAAAAGTCGGGTCACGCATGGCGCCTTAGTTGTCCGTCGTCGCCGCCAGCGTCCGTAACCACATCACACGAAATAATGACACTGTGCAACTTGAACCCGGGTCCGCCGGGTGCCAGCCCAGAATTCTACTAATGAGCCACGCCAGTGCTTGTCACTTGTTTGCAAGCTTGCCTTAGGCAGGCTTGATGTCGGAAATGCGATCACGTTGTTACGATTTATAAAGCGTTTAAAACAGCCAAAGAACAACCAATAATCGCACAATGCGAATAGCGTAATGAGTGGTACCATCGAATGTTCCAACCCATTACAAAAGCTTGTTTCTGTTTAGCTATTAACTCTAGCGGATACCCACTTCAGGCATAATTTCTCATCGTCGTCAGCCACTACATGAACAATTGGCACGATTCTTTGCAGGTCTTTAGAGGATACCAGGTTTCTCAGAAGAATGATGACAAATAGCATAGTGAATGCTGGCTTATAACCCAAAAAGAGAGAGAGGAAACTTTATTTGCGCATAACGCGGAGCATTTCCTATGGTCGGGCCCCTATTTCAGGGCTCCACTGGCCCTAGCCATTATCTCTACCCGTTAGACCAGCCAGCGCTGATCAGCAATGGCTGAGCTGGACAGCAGTGCCTCCCATTGTTCATCTGTGTTATTCATGTTCTGGTGTTCTTCATTGTGATGCGTACACTCCCACGTAATGTGAAACAGAGTTGGTGTGGCCCCATACCATAGACATATATCTCTGTATGTTGTTGGGTAGAACATATGTAGCCTGTGTAAGTTCATGTATGTTTCTGTTTGGATTCTGCGTAACACCACCGATTCCATTGCTGTGAGGTTCTTATGCGGTGCTGGATACAGATTTTTTTGTCCCTGTAATACTGACGACTTGTATCAATGTTAGGGTCTATGGACGTTGGATCCTCTTTTGCAGTGTGCAAGGAAGCTCGGTGATTTGTTAAGCTTCGAGTCGCCTCATTCGCAAACTGTTCCCGGTGACGCCTTCGTGCCCTGGCGCCCAGATAATGGTTTGAGTGTATTCAATTAAAAAGCCTTTATGAGCTTTCTTTGAAATTTTGACGCTCTTCATACATATTTTACCTTTTTCATAATTCCTACATGCAGCCTTCGAATCCTTGATTATTGTCAGTTGGGCTTTTCGCTCCCTGCCCTCCTTCATTGCCAGCGCGATCGCTATCTCCTCCGCTTCTGTTATAGAGGCTTGGGCTATGGTGGCACAACTTGTAACGTTTCCTTTTCGGTTTTTAATCATGACCACCATGTTCTTTGTGCCAAAATTATGATTAATAATGCCGTAGCAAGTATCAAGCACGTGCGCTTGCAGCTGTTATTTAATGAGTGTTTAAAAAAGTCTCTAAAAGGCCGCTCTTCCAGCTTTCGCTGTGACTGTGCTGTTCCTTCCCCGCAGGCCGGGCGCTTTTTTTATTGCAACGGGTAAATCGTAAAACCTCGAAATAATTCACAAATAGGAGCCCGGACCAAGTGCGTATGACAAGCTCTCGTGTATCAAAAATTTAGCAACTCATAAAACAGCAAAATAGAACTGAGTCCGTTTGGCATGTTAGGAATATTCGGCTACGAATATTGAACTATAACTTCTAATGTTCAAGATCAGATGGTTTTCACGTGAAACTTCTATTACCCAAAAAGGAAGTGTTCGTAAAGTACACTATGACCTAACCCACTAGAGACCAGTGTACTTTACAAAGTACGCTTCCTTATTCTGGAAAAAATACATAACACTATACTCTGACCTTGCTCATCATAATTCGGCAGCGGTGGTTTGCAGCTAGATAATGCTAAATAGGCATATTGACTCTATTTTTTTCTGTTTTATGTGTTGTTTCACTTTAGGAAAACAAGAGTCGCTCAGTGAGAGCCCGTTTAAAAAAACGCACTGCTTTGCTTCAGCAAGAACTAAATAATCCTTGCACAGCGCTAAATATGCATAAAGTACATAGTTTTTCTCGTACGTGTTATGAAATCTCGGTGTACTTTTTACAGTAAAATGGGACTTCGTGAGAGTACACACGTACCCATATGTTCTGAGGCATTTTTAAGAGTGAACCAGCCATTTTGCTTGAAATAGTGCCGTTTAGTTTAGGTTATCTGATAACCACGAGCCTGGACAGATACCACTGTGAATACGAGAGAGCCCGTTGAGGTTTCATTGTCGCATCTGACCCTTGGATACTTAGGAGGAGAAGGGGATGACGACGGTACGAAGGGTGATATGTGTGAACAATACAACATATGGGAACAAAAATGTAGTTAGTATAGCTGTTTATTCATTTATTTATCTATTTATTTATTTAATTCAGTACCTTCAGGGCCCGAAGGCGTTACAGAAGGGAGTGGGTAATAGTATACATAGTAATAAGAACAGTAAGAGTGAACAAAGAAAAATGCTGCTAAGAATAAACATCGGACTAAACAGCGGCCTTAAAAGCAGTGACATCGGTCAATCGGGCAACAGAGGAGGGTTTCCAGTATCTTTTGATACTGGAAACAATTTTGTTTCGTGAAGGCCGAAGACAAAGGCATAGTTTCTATGCTGTCAATCGACCAAATAGTAGCTTCCATGTTCTGTAACTGGGTGGCCATACAGTAAATAAAACGTAGTGCCATTTCCAACTCTCCTTGGCATCTGTAACAGTGTCATGAAAGAGGCTGAGGTCTACGACATTGCTGCGAATTATTACAATATATCATGGCAGAGACAATGTCATACAGGCCTGCATTTACTGACATGATATAAATGGTCACGGAAAATGATATGGTGTCTGTACGTACACTGTTTCCGCAGACCGTTTATGAGACAACAATTTCCCTTCACTCGTACAATAACAAGACACTCACTTGGTGTTGATGTACCTAACGGGAGTGTCAATGGATCTCTAGCATCTCCTGAGCTTGCTATTACAGTCGATTCATATGTACCGACATTTTCAGAAATCCTGAAAAAATGCAGGTACTTCATAATACAATAAAAATTGTTGCAGGAAGTGCGACATTAGGCTTGCCATAAAGGGTCGGTACTTCAATATGCTTTGTCGGCCACGACTACTTCGGTATTCGTTTGGCGAGGACCTACCATACAATCCATTCTTGCATCTCACCAGCTCTCCTATGGCTATCTCGAGATACCAGCGTTTTTTCTAATGTATATTGTCACAACTTCTGCAAAAACGTATGAACCTCTATGAAAATTTGCACGCATTGTTGCTTCTTGCATCTAATTCGTGTGCAAAATTTTAATAAAATACAAATAGTACTTCTTTCATGGTGCTTAATGGCTTAATAAATCATGTGAAGTGACTGACAAGGCCCTCTAACAAGGGGGGAGGGTGTAGGCGTCAGAAAAAGTGGCCCCGTCTACGTACTGCCCACTCGGAATGCCATACGCTTTCCTTCAGGCTACCGTGCTTCTCATGGCCTCCTCCTATACAGCTTTGCTGGAGATAGAGCTGCTACGCCAAGCGACAGATCGCCAGAGCATGTGCTACAAAACAAAGGCTGTCAGTGCAGTTCGGTCAACTAGAGTCAATGTCCTCATGTACTTTCTTTTTCTTGAGGAATCGCCGCCGTGCATTTGTGCAATTCTGTACAGTTCCGCATATCTCTAGGGCACAACTGAGTCTGGGAGCTAATACAATACGAAAAGAGTGCCAAAAGACACGGATGAGGCAAATTTAACCGTTTATGGTCAAAACGATCTTTAAAATGTGATGCTGTAAACGGCGCTACTTCATTTCCAATTTTCTTCATTATCTTCGATATTACAAATAATGTGCTTCGTATTAATCTTGAAGCCAGGAAACACCGAAGCAAAGTAAATCAAATGTATCGTTTTCCAAACACATTTCTGCTCATGTTGCGATAGACGGTGTGTAACCGACATCACCCAGTTTTTATGGTAACTAACAGTACTTCAAAAATACAAACCGTTTATTTGCTTTATTATCTCTAAGACAGTATCCTTATAAGGTCGTCTGGAATAGTGTTACTAGGTCAAGTTTTAACTTGACGTATAAATTGCTTCTAGTGCGATTCACGTACGTCGGCTTTATATCAATCAAAGTTTAGCAAGTTACTGAAAACTCTGGTGTTCGCAAAAAAATTATTAAAAATCGTTTGTGTATTTTCCCTTCCTACAAGCAGTCCAACATCTCTCAAGACAGCGTAAAATACAACCAGTTTACTGATGTTTATTGAGCAAACCAGGAGACTGATCTGATAGATGATGCCTTCTTTTCACCGTGCTCCACAGATCTGTATAGAAAAGGCTGTAGTCGTGCACGACAGTTGCCCTGTGAAAACGAAAAGGATCGAAAATGACGAAAGTACCATGATGTGACTAAAAATACATGCAAGAAAAACTCTATGAAGGTAATTAATATAACACGTAAAACGTGTCTTCAGGAAAGTACTGGAGTTTTCATTGGCCATAATGTAGAAGCAATTAATGTTATAACAATGAGCGGTGATGTCACGTGAATAGCGGTAAAGTGCTCAAATATTTCAGCGTGACTTACAAAACGAAAGAATGTACTAAAACTCTGTAGTACAAGCGAAAACTGAAAATCCTCACAGCTCTACACCTAAAACACTATGGTCATGCACCAATAAGGATGCACAAAGTGAACACAGCCAAGACGACTGCAAACAAACTACTGTCACAATTGTTACTTACGTGTGATAAGCGCTCTCTGTTTACACGCGAAGCGCAAATAAAGAGAAGGTTCGTGTTCTCGCTAAGGTTAAGGCACGCATGCGGTAAAAAGTAGGGGACGGAAAAACGTCATTTTGTGAATTCGGCAGCCTCAGAGGTGCGAATCCCAAGCTTGGAATCAGCAAAAGGTCCTTGGGCTTTGCCGCGTCCACGGCCTGTCGAAGTGCCCAAATTGGTTCCTACGAGTTGGAGCTGAGAACCTTGGTCTCCAAGCGCTCATCATTATCATTATCAGTTGCGCGACCCAGTTGAGCCGCCGTAGGACAGGCCCACATATTCTGAGGTAGGTCAACCCTTTCCTTACATATATTTCACCTGTCGGTAAATTGACCTGTGTAATAGTGGTTATAGAATACAGGGTTCGGCTACGTGCTTTGTCTGAAGAAAACGCAAGGCCCCCGCTCGCTGCTTCTAAAGTGTGAAAGCTCAAGACGTACAAACCTCTCGAGCAAGAGCGACCATGCCCTGCTGAGGGGCATGCACTTCGCAGTGCTTGGAGAGACCACCTTTAAAGCATGACTTCAAACCTTCCGCAATATCTCGCGAGTGATAAGAACAACACGCTTAAATTGCTGATATTTAACGCTGGCATTGAATTGTTTAGATTTGCGGAAACGTACCTCTACCACAATTTTACGGACTGCCAAGTATCCACAATCCCACTGTCGTGTTCTGTTCAATCGTAAGTTTTCAATCATCTCTAGTCCGTGTGCTCTCCAACTCTTTCCAAAAGATTCTGACGGAGCTTGTCGGAAAAACACTATCCCACATAGGCAACGCGAGGCCGATCATGGTGTGCATAAAAGATGCAACAACCATGTCCGATGGAGGCGGAAATGCTGTAGGGCTGTGTATTCAGTTTTGGGTCACGTTGAAAACCCCAGGTAGTCGATATTTCCAGAATCCTTCACTATGGCGTCTCTGATATTTATATGCTGGTTTCGGGACGTAAAGCCCTACAAATAAATCAAAGATGTGACAGCGAAAATTGTTTCGTTTGACGTCGTTTTCTTCCTCACTAGTGATCCCATTGCACTAGGGGTGTCCTCTCCACGTACAGCTTTGAATGAAGAGCAATTCTTGGGCGAAAAACTGTGGCGAAGCTTCGATGAACTCTGTAGCCAAATGTAGTATTGCCTCAAGAGAATATACTTCAATGCAACGATAACTTCTACAGACAAGTCAGTGGAACCGCGATAGAGGCGGCGGTCGCCGTTACAGTTGCAAACTTCACAACTTCAGATGGCACTTCATTTCATTTCATTTCATTTATTTATACTGTTAGCCCAGAAGTGGGCCGTTACAGGGTGGAAGTACAAACAATTATTTGCAAAAAAGAAGTACCGTACAGGTCTCGAGATAATTTCTCGGTACTATTGTGACCAGCAACTCGAAGTATACATAACATACATAAATGGAACACACATGCGATGCAATACATACGCGCAGAACAGCACATGACGCATTTGAGGCGGCACTTTTGCACCGCGCTGAAGATTTGAAAGACAACTACTGCAGGATCATGCAACCAACAAAAGTACACACACACGCAAAAAAAACATATGTCACTGTTATTCGGAAAATAAACGTTTTAGATTCTGTTCAAATGATGTAAGCGAGGAACAACCAATTATAGACTCTGGCAGCATATTCCAATCTTCGATAGCACGTGGAAAGTAACTGAACTTAAAGCAATCGTTACGTGGGACTAGGGGTGGTATATACCTATTATGGCGATGTCTGGAGTGTTCTTGTGTGTTGACCTGGAAGTAATCTGAATAGTTTAGTTTAAATTGATTATGAATTAACTGGAAGAGGAATTTCAGACGCTCAATCCTCGTCCTAAGTTCAGGACTATCCAGTCCAGCTTTTTTACAGAGTTCAGTAGGAGAATGATGTCGGCTATATTTATTAAAAATAAATCTCGCACCAAGTCGCTGTATTTTTGTTATTTTATTGCAGTTTGTCTTTGTGTAAGGGTCCCAGACAATTTTAGAATATTCGATAATGGGTCTGACAAGAGTTTTGTAAGCAAGACACTTTATATCAGATGGGGCGGTATAAAGGCCCTTTATACTTCGCCCCTTTATTGAGAAGCTGAAAGTATTTGTGTGGTACGTGGATGACTGCTTCTGCGTCATAAATAAGTCACCCGTAGACAGATTCCTCCAGCATCTGAATTCCGTCAACCATGCTCTCGATGACGTGACACTGAGGTGGGACGCTTCTAATTCTTAGCGTTGCTGCCTCACAGCAGGACGAGCGCATGACCTTCTCGCTGTATAAAATACCAATACATACAGGCATGTAATTTCATTGGACGTCATGTAATTCGACTGCTCACAAAGTTTTGGAGGTTTCGGAGGTCCTTTCATTTGCAAAAACAATCTGCACGAAAGAGAGAGAAACAGTGAAGAGGAGAATATTGACGACGAGGTACTACAAAAATAAATACACATAAACGTTTAGCCACAAGCGAGCTACCCCAACAGCGCGAAAGTTTTTACGATCCTCTTTAAGAGCGCCTTCGTGCGGAGAATAGATCGGGCAACGCCCATTTCTTAAAACATGTTCTCTTCATGCGACGGGGACTGCCGGAGAAAAACTCACTGCTTGTCTACCATCTCGGAGGTCATAAATGGCAATTGAAGGTTGTGCATTCTACTGTCAGATGGCACCATCTTTTCAGGCTGCTCATGTTTAAAGGGTCATGATCGGCAAACCTGTATAACTGAAAACTTTGCGGGCTAACTGAAGCTTTTCATATTGCTAGTGGAAGAGTGCATATATTGATCAGTTGCAGTTTTTTAATTGCACTGGAATGGCTGACATAATTTATTTTAGGTGAAATACCTGCCACCTAGCCTGTCAGTCACAATGCACCCTGTACACATTGGAAAAAATGCTTCCGTGCGGTAATTTCATGCTTAGTTGACTATCGTAATGTTCACGCATGGACCCTTGTCAGCAGGTAGGGTATTAAGATTTTTCCTGATATATGAGCTCTCACTGCTAGCTAAAACACCATAACACTGAGGTGAGGTATTATCGCTACCTCCGAGTGTTTTGTGAATTTTCAGGTAACTACATGGAGAATTGTGTGCAACCACATTGCAACACCATTCATCACCAATCGCGGGCAGGCCCAGAACGAACTAAAATTCGCGCGCCGAAGCATCTAAGCGTTGCCTTGTGGAGAGTAGACGACGTAGGGACACCTTGGTTTTGTCAATTTTGTCGTGGTGACGTGAATGTAGCTACACACACTTTGTTGTCAATAATTATTGAAGCCAGTTGGCAGAGTCACGACAATGTGCAAAGTTTATTTATAAAGAATCTGCGTATTTCTACAGTCTGTGATTGGGGACAAATGATGAAAACAAGCAAAGGAACGTATCTAGAGAAAATTATGACATTCATTGAATTAAAAAAGTCACCGCAGTTTGCCTTAGGCATCCGCGTAAGAACAAATTCGTAGTTTGAGCGACAATCGTTATATACAATTCTATGACCTGCGGCCATGCGTACCTGGGGCAGTCAGAGAGATGCTGCAACATAAGTCTAACAGAACAGTTGCCCAGCCTAAATGGTCACCCGAGTAGGCATTTCACTATGAGTTGTCAAAATTGTGGGTGCACACCTCAGATATAGCAGTGCTAGCGTTTGGTTGAAGAACCCGAATAAAACACGGAGAGAAATTAGTAAAGCCCATTGCATTGAATTTCAAAGGAAACTTTTATCAGTCATCTTCCCATTGCTTTATTAGACAAAGAAAGTTCACTACTTTTCTTATACATATATACCAGTTTTTATCTTGCCCAGTTTTGCTAGAAATGCATTTGGCGTAGTATGTTGCTATAATGCGATAATATGAGGTATTATAATCACACGTCATAGGCGTATGCTTTAGTGATGTGTTTTTGACGTGATTAAGATGAATATGTTGGCCATTTGAGCAGATGTATTTTAAAGTATACACAGTTGTTAGATTGTGTCAGTTTGTTGTACACCTTGCTTAATCCTTGTTCATCTCGCCCAAAACATTCATTAGAAGTAACAAAGTTGCCCGCCATTTGAAAAAAATGAGACCTGAAATGGCTAAGCCACGTGAATAAAAGAAGATGGTTGCGCTAAGGGTGCATGGAACGTTTTTTCGCAAAATTCTTTGCGCAAAGAATTGCCGCCCTTTTTTGGTACGAAATGCGAAGAATGTTTGCACCATTGTTCGGAGTGGCACAGAGCTGCAAGAACTCGACCTTGCGCGTACACACGTTTTACTAGCCCTATGTAGCTTTTACAATGTTCTTGCTCGACAATGATGAACCTTTCGTAAACATTGAAAGCGGAATAACGCCGAGTTTTTACCATAGTGCATGTTCTTTATTACTGACCAGAAATGCTGTTATTTGGCGGAAAAACATACGCAAGATATTTGTTTGTTATGACGAAAGGAAGCATACTAAGTTACCATGTCGTTTCACCCAATAACTGCAGAGCTTACTTGAAGCGCACACTTCCGGACTTGTCAACGGGGGCTTTCCAGACAAATTTCACGTTCTTTTTGTCGTTGTTGCTCTCGTGGGTTGCTCCAGAGCATGTCTCCATCGGCTTGTAGTTTGGTCCTTCCAGAAAATGGCCAACATCCTCACCTTGCTCGCTGAACGCCTTTACCAGGAAGCCCCGAAAGTACGAGCTTTTCACATGAAGTTGTACTGCAGCGTTCAGAATAGAAAAAAAACTATTAATTATTTTGTGTAGGAATACAGTCAACGAAAGTAGTGTCGAAGAAAGTAGCATCTTATTCCCTGATCCACTCTGCTCACTTCTTGTCTCTTAAGGTTACACCAATAATTTTTCTTTCGATCACTCGTTGCGCTGTCCTCCATCTACGCTTAACCTTCTTTGTAAGCCTCCGGGTTTCTGCTCCTTGGGTAAGTACCAGCCGTATGCAGCTGTTACATACCTTCCTCCTGAGGGATAGTGGCAATATATCAGTCATCATTTTAGAGTGCTTGCCGAATGTGCTCCACCCAATTCTAATTCTTCTAGTTACTGAAATCTCGTAGTTCAGCTCCGTGGTTATTATATATCCGAACTAGACGTAGTCTTCGACCAAGCGCACTATTACCTATCTCGAAGCGCTGTTCTCTTCTAAGGTTGTTGTGCATTGCTTTCGTTTTCTGCAGATCAATTTTAAGGCCTACCTCTCTGCTCGCCAAGTCTAATTCAGTAGTCATGAGTTCAAATACATCCCCTGTTTTACTCAGGAATGCAATGGCATCGGCGAAGTACAAGTTACTAAGGTGCTCTCCATCAACTAATAACTCAGTATGTTTTTTTGTCCCTGGTACACGCTTGAGAGCCTAGTACACGCTTGTAATCACTGGTACTTCGCTGGGCGCACAGGGGAAAAGCTGTGTCACACTGGTAGGGGCGCTGGCTCAACTGCTGCGATGCTGGTGCGCACTGCGTGGTGCTGGAAGCGCTGGAGTTTTCACTGGCAAGCGCTGGTGAATACTAGAGCACGCACTGTTTCTACCAGCGCAGATGCAGCGTGCATGTTAATGTAGCGTGTGCCGTGGTTTGTTTCGATGTCATTGAATATAAAACGCTTGATTCGACGGCATGGAGAGATGATATTCTAACAGATACCGAGCATACGCAATTTTTGCGGTGCACGTACGTATCACAACAACTATAAAGCACCTTTTTCGCATATGCCCCACGTAAACCGACCATATTCGCATCATGCGTGTATTGTTGTAACGTTTCTAAGTTGCAGTATTTGTAAGCCTGGAGCCGCACGCCACTCCTAACAGAAACAGGAAATTGTTTTTGCCGCAAAGTTTACGAAACATAAATGAGCTCCCTTGATCGCTTCGCAAGGTTTCCAAGCGGAGGCGAGAAAAAAAGCTGCTATTTCATTCCGCCACACTGCGTAAATGTATGTCTGGCCACGCTTATCCTGTTATTTACTTCAGGTAAGAGATATAAATGTTCTGAAGCTCAAATGCAGAGTCTTCAACCCTCCCAACTCACCGCGTCGAGAGCGGTCTTACCCAGTGCCCGGCTAAGCGAGCATTAAACCTGTGGTGTCAGCCGCGTTGGAATGTTACCGGCGCCTGTTGCTTCGTGTACACAGAACTTTATAGCGTGAAAATAACTGTAAAGTATAGTTTAGAGATCCATGAACCTAAATTAACTATTTTGTCTTGTGTCGATGTTCGCACAAGGAGCGCTGACGATCGAATGTCGCGCTTTCAGCTACGCTGGCTGTCACCGAAAGCTGCCGGCCGCACTTCTCCGACTGATATGTAACAACACGCAATTTTCAGTTGGTAATTTGGTACGCCTTCGTGAACTGACTCCCTGGCATACGTTTTCAGCGTATTGTATTGGTATTTCTATGCATGTTTTTTTAATTGTTGGTATTGATATAACTGCACATATCTGTACACTGGCATGCCCGCTGTATACTGCCAAAAGAGGCCAGAAAAACCGCTGTCACTCGCCATCGCCACTCCGTAAATGCATTTCTGGCATTTATTGACCTTCCACTTACTTCAGGAACAGTTTAAGTAACAGTTAGAAATATTGCGAAGCTCAAATGCAGAAACTTGAAGCATGACAACTCAGCTGCTTCGAAAACAGCCTTACCCTGTACCCCGTCCCGGCGAGGCCTATCGTGCCGGCCACGTCGGTGTACCTGCTGCCGGTGCTTTTTACTTTATGTAGGCACAATTCTAAAGTGTAGGAATGACTGTAAAGTACGGTTTAGACATTTCTGAGCCTAAATCAATCATTTATTCGCATGTGCAGTGCCCGCACAAGGAGCGGTGACGATCGATTTGTCATGCTTTCAGCAGCGTAGGCTCTCACCAAAAGCCTGCTTCTGAGCGCAAGAACCGGTACTTCTCTGACTCGTATGTAAGAACACGCAATTTCGAGTTGGTAATTTGGTATGCGTTAGTGAACAAACATACTGGCATACTTATTCAGCAGATTGCATTAGTCATTTCTTCGGCGGTTTCTTAGTTGCAGGTATCGATATAACTGCAAATATGTAATCTGGCACGCCGAATGTATACTGCTACATCGTCGCTTGCGCGAATGAAAAGTACTCACTATTCACTCGTGGGCGTGGATATCTATAAAACAAGACATTTAAAACATCTTTTCTTGTCAACCAGTAGCAAGTGCTAGAACCGACTGTCAAAGAAAAAAAACTATCAGCAGCAACAGCTGACAATCTGTGGCTGCTCCACCAGTCAAATTGAGATTTTTCAAAGTTAAGATATAGATGCTTCAAAAGATTTTGTGTTCTTATCCACACGTCATTCGGTGCCCGGAAGCCGTTCGTCACTGTCTAACCAAGACGCAATTGTTATTTGGAAAGGAATATTGTGTCAGTCTCGCCTGTGCGATTGTAAACATGAGGTTGAATGGCATGTTCTTCGGATAAATAGTCATTTTACAATACCACATGCACGTTCTGGTGTGGCGTAGTTGGTGGCGTACACAGTTTAAGATCAGGACGTAGCAAGTTTAAATCCCATCAATCAGTTTTTTATCTCTTTTCCTATTTTTATATTTTTAATTTTATTGTGAATGCGCGCTATTTTACTTCTATATTTATTTATTTATGGCGAATGGGCATTCCCTTTTCAAATCTGTGAAGCCATTTGGCGCAGAATACTGGGACGCTGCCGCTCCAGCGTCCCAGTACCTGCGCTGGTACCAGCGTCATACTGGGCCCATAATCAGGCATGGCGCTGGACACTGGTACCCAGTGACGCTGGTTTTTGCAATAGGGTTAGAATAGACATGCCAAAGAATGAAGTTCCCATAAACTTCCTAGCCACAGCACCTGTTATGGTTTTGCCAAGTGAGGTAATCCTCACTATGGGAGCAACATAAGGACCACGAGGTCGTAAAATTGAGTCTTCTAAAAGGTATCATCTGCCTAAAGAGGATTTTGCCGGAGTCCCCAGAAAGTTGCAAGTTGAAAGAAGAGTCGTAAGTTGAGTACAAATGAATCTCAAAGCTTCACTTCGTGCAACGGCTTAAGAGCACCACAACTTATGGACACAATGTTGTCAAATGGCTCGACCTAGAGTGAAAGAAAAGTTGGAAATGATAGAAGGAAGATAGCGACGAGAAATTCGGAAAAAAAAGGGGGGTGCTTGAGCCGTCACTTCGACAACGACGTTTGCCTCTTTCAAGAATGCCACTGCTATACTTCGGCACTTGTGCGCGTATGCTTTGCACCCTCTCCTTCATCGTAACAAAGAAGGAAGAGAAGGCAAAAGCAAAAGCTTGAAGGGAGGACAATGAGAAGCTGCGTGATGAATAGTGTTAGTCAGGAGGATGGTATTACACCAAAAACACAAAATGAGAACAAAGAGAACAACAGAAGAGAAAAAAGTGTCAAAGCATTCTGGCAACGTTATTCCTGGCTGAATGCATTTATGCATTCTCAACATGCCCGTGGTATGGTAGGGTATGAATAACGTTATTCTGGTCCTGAGGATCAGTCTAAAAGTTGCAGGCTGCTCCTACATCGGGGCAGAGAGCCCAAACCTATGTCTCGCCACCCAGACTCCCTAGACAGTCCTGAGTTGGTGCGCCTGCACATTACTGTGCAGCATTGTCTGTGTTTAGAGATTTTCTCTGTCATCATTATTCACTGTGAGAAGCATCAACGGTCCACGTTGAGCACCGTCAGGGCATATGGCCTAAATCAAGCAAGCCCTCACAATTGAAACAGTAAACCAAACCCCACATTCCGGAATAATTTTACTCATGACGGCCGAGTCAAGGTGCGTCCACGCCTGTTTAGGTCTTAGTGTAACCACTTGTGGCCTTTTTATGTAGAATGTGGCAAGGCAAATACCCTGAGCTCTAAAAAATTATGCTTGGCTATATCGTTCTAAGGCAACAGCTTGTCAATAAACTCGAAAGCGGGAGATTCAGCCACCTCAGGGATTGAATGGCACAATAATCCTCCTCGTACTTCTCTGTCTGCACCCTCAAGGAAGTTACGCAGGACTCTCTTTATATACCCTATGTGCACAGGAAGCCAAGCAATGGTATTTGGAGTTATGTCTTTTTCCTGCCGCAGTCTGTAATCCTGTTCTGCAACAACTCCAATCGAGAAGACTTACACTGCACAGCATTTACATCACAATTACCCCTAATGATATCCTCTAGAGTTTTTTTGACATATTTGTGTATTAGTTAGCATTATTTTTAGTCTAACAAACCAAACGAGCTTTTAAATGTGCACATATTTTTTTTTCATTCATAGTGAGGGTTTCTGTCTGGCATGCTTGGTGCAGTGAAGTAGTAAACGAAAGAATATTGGTCAGCTGCCAGCTCGAAATAAGTTCACGTGCTACGTGATGCCAAACAGCCAGATAAAGAATTCCACACTCGCCGCCGCTGCTACTGGTGGTGCTGACTGGTGATCATACTACGTTTAATGCTCACATATATCGCAAAAAGTTGACGAAGAAATAGCTGCTGTGGCAGCTCAGTCGGTAGAGCAGTTGACGCGCGTCGCCGATTCGTCCCTGGCGATGGGAAGTTGTCTTCTTTACACTTTTATTATTAAGTTTAGAGGGCAATTTATACTACTGTTGTCCGCTATACTACCCTTGGTTTAACTGTCTACTCAATTTTATTGTTGTTGTGCCTAACAAAACAAACGGGC